ATTCGACTAGAATATCACATCACAAAATTATTTGAAAACATAAATGGGCGTCTACAAAATTAATAACGCATATTCAAAGCGATATACGCTCATGGGACCACCTAGATTACACAAAGTGGTATAATGAGTACAGAATACGTAATTAATCATACAATCGTTGGTGGGTGTCGTCATTAAAGAACGTAGTGGCCTAGAGTGATGTATTTGTCATATAATAATGTCGATTTTTTTTAAATAAAATTGTTTAATTTATGCTGAAGAATAATATGTGTTATAAATGTGACGTCAATTTTATAGCAGATCAATAGACCGCTCACCCACAAAATGGAATCAGAGTATAAGTTACATACAAACAACGCCTTGCTACAAAGACCCGGATGCGTACCTTGGCATGTTCCTGGTGTCCCATGGAAGCTCGATAATTGCATATTGTCGCGTTTTATTGACAAACAATTAAAACTGTGGTGTCCTTATGTCAACTATCATCATCGAGTAATACACTGATCTCAAGAAATTAATCGTGTATGCTGATACGTGTTAATACTGAAACAAAAACAGTATCCAATTACAATTATGTATTCGAAGTCGCTATGTTAGGTACGCACCCTATCAAGATTCAACCTTCCGTCATGTTATGAGTCAACACATGTGTACTAAGTTTCTGAAATACAGTCTTGCATGTGTAATCCACACAGAAATAGTTTTTGTGTTTTGATTTCACGATCACTTAAACTTAAACGCACCCTGTTTAGCGTTATTGCTTCAGTAGAAACGCGTGCCAGCTTCAAACCAAAGGATTAAGTGAGCTTACAAAATTATTCCTAATTGTTAAAAAAACCTTCACGCTTATCGTCTAAACTTTCAAATTTGAATTTTTGTTTCAAGTATTTTTCAGTTTAGGTATGTATTTTACAAAGAATGTACTGTAATGTCTAAAACAAACATATCATAGTACGATGTAACACCACAGCGAAACTAATGAGCAACTAAACTATACTTTTGCCAGTCATGCTTCCGTGTCTTTCAGTCATTATTATTTGCCTAAAGACCAAACTAGGTCATGCGTGGGATTTCCCCGGAGTGGTATTTCCATTAAGCATGCATCAAAGTAATAAAGGTTGTTCAGCATATTGAGAATGACGAAAAGTCATGAGCGATATGTGCTACACGTCTATTAGTTTAAAATAGCTGGAAGGCATAGCCTGGAAATATAGAAATATCCAGATAAAAGGAGATTCAGTATAGTTCTATGTTTTCAGTCGCTATCTGTTAATGGTGTATTGATAAGCACCAAAGTTTAGATTAGTGTAGTTTTACTTACCGGTATCATACCAGTATATCACATTACAATAAAAATGAGCAATAAAATGTTCAGCAAGGCTGTGCGTGATAACAGATATAGTGGATGGAGCGATATACTGTCCAAACCATGCTAGCTCTACATTACACGTTCTGAACAATTTAACAAGGGGAATATGCAAGTTTATGGTTATTTATTTCATTTGTTGTTTTTGATTTAGGAAGACCTGAAACGATTGACCAAACGAATCAGAAATGGTGAAGCAATGAAGAGCCACAGAAGGCGGATCCGTTTATCTATATCTTCGAATGGAACCAGTCGCTCGTTGAGAAGTGCAGTGACAGCCAGATTCACGATGTCCTCCGGTTTCCAAAAACAAACGGAATCCTGCCTTGCACAGGATAACACTTGAACTCATTTTGGCAAGTGCGTCTTGTAGCAGTAGAAAAGAACAAGAACTACATTCATGATATAGTATATGATATCAATGTACAATGGCACGTATATTCTTATGTGTTTTATTGCAATATAACATTTAACATTATTACATACTGTGCAATATATGATGATGTCATATCATTATATAGTGTTCCAAATAGAAATTCGTATTACTCAATGTACAATAAAGTATGACGTCATATGATTACACAATTTGTAATCTAGGATTACGCCATATGATTACATATGTGTAATAAATACGTAATACTTTATTATAATTGATCTGCCTTTGTTCACGTAGTTTTGAATGTTAAATTACGTAATCTTAATGTTTCTGTCTATAATATTAACTAACAACAATTGATTTGAAAATGTAATTTATATATTCAATTTTTTGTAAATATTTTGGGATTGTGTCTAAACGAAATATTTGGGGTAGATTGCATCGGCTATGGGATTTTAAAATAATACAATACATATCTATATGTGCCATATAATATGGCGCAATTTTCCGTCAACAAATATGATTGACACGTTCTACAATATTTTACTAATTTTTAGTTAGATGACTTTAAATCAACAGCATATAGTTGTAGTTGCATACGTTTTGCATGGATAAAACAGTTTTTGAGGAACCTTATTTTAATAAACAACATGAACAATCTGCAGCAGCTTTGCCAAGCTGACAATTAACCCCAACGTCACCGTAGTTCCGCTTCAATAATACTAGCTGCAACGGCGTTATAAGGTAATAAGCACTGCTGTCCTTTCGCCAATGACTGCCAGACCTAGCCAAATAATAAAGACGATACGATTCTTTGCAAGAAAAACAAATATTGCATAATTTAATGGCGTAGATTAACAATAACTATCGGACGGACAATACATTGTGTAATTTCAATGGATTATATATATTTTATCAAAAATAGAAATATATTAGCAGATTTTTGCATCCCATGAAGTTATACTTACAAAAAGCTAAATAGCTGACGTAAAAGGTGTTTCAGGGAACTCTGGGAATTCTATGAATTGCAAACGACACAAGTCACGTGTCTGCTACAAATCAAACCAAAGGCATGCTCCAGAATGTGTAATAGATATTCATAACGACTCCATAACTGGTACATTTTTGCAACTGAGCATGAGATAAATACATGTCTGACCCGACAGTCTGAAGTAAATTACCTATTTTATATGTATCGTGTTGCATATTAATTGTCTTGTTGTTCACAGAACGCAGTAACAATGTCTTAACAATAACGAATGCAATGCTT